GGGGGGGGGGGGTATTGATGTTTTAAGCCTGCTTAGTGGCACGTCCTTTACAAATATGAAAATACATGTATGTATAATATTTTTTTTTTTCATATTTTTAGTATCTGCGGGGATGCATAAAGTAAAATCCATAAGCATCAACATTCAAAGTGTGATGTTGCCGGAAGCTATGAAAGTTAGAGAATGATTTTCTCAATGTTATGAGGTAAAAATGGAAGGAGTACCAACTCATAGTGGGCAGAACTGTAATGAGTCTTACATAACATTGCTTAGTGTAAACTCATAAGGAACTTTGGTTCATTATCACAAATATCAGTAAACATGTACTCAGACCGGGAGAACGCAGGATTCTCCCCAAGGTTTAACAAAATGTGGTCCATACTCCATATATTTCAAAATTGATTATTTATCTATATGATTAATTCTTACATGTATTTCATAGTATTAGGAAGTTCTACGACTGAGTAGCTTAATTATTATACACCACTACTGGAAAAGATTAGGAGTCAATTAACAGGAACAGTATCACATTTCATGAAAGCCTGAAGAAGTAATTGACATCTTCTTCAAGAAACGGGTTGACTAGCAGTAGTAGCAATAGAACAACAACAACGACGACCCAGTAAAATCCCACAAGTGGGATATGGGGAGGGTAGTGTGTACACAGACTTAACCCCTACGCCGATGGGGCAGCCTCCGGCTGTTTCTGATAGGCCCTCGGCTCAAGAAGACGGAAAAGACTGAGAAGAGACAATATATCAGTACCATCAAGGTATCAACAGAAAGCATAGTGGCTTAGGTCACAAGTTCGAGCTCTGTGCCAAGGGAACTAAGTCTCCTATCTAAATGTAGAAGGATAGAGGAGCGGGTCCATTATCCCCAAGTTCTGAAGGCTGCGGTTCCAGACATGGTTCTAACTTCTAAGGGTTGATTCCAGACAGATTTCTCAGTAATAAAAAGAAAAGCTAACATCTAAGTAATTACCACAAAAAATGGCAAAATCAATTTCTTTTCTTGTTCGCTAACGAGCAAAATAAATTTTTTACGAGTTCAATACCTCTTCCAGCTGAGATGGAAAGAGAAAAATTGAAATTTTTTTTCAAGGACTTCACATAATGTCTCTTCCACTATAATTAATATTTTAGGATTCCATGAGGGAATAATTAACAGGTTTTCATTCTAATTAACATCAGAAGTTAATAAACAAGACAACTTAGAGACACCCAAAATCCTAAAGGGCATTTTAGAAATAGTGTTATGAAGATCAAATTGCAAACTTACTTGGCCAAGTCCTCACTGAAGACTGAACTTTGCTCCTCTATGGTGAACTTTACGACTTTCCCTCTGCCCTATGGCTTTCTGTGTTTTGGAAACTCCTATTTACTATTTGGGCCAACATCACCCGATTCGGCCCGCCAAAAGAACCTCTTCC